CAACAAGGTTATTTGTGCCTTTATTTATGTATTTATAGTGTTCCTCTTATCTTATGGGGGGGGGACGACACACAAACAAGGAAGATAAAGATGTTGGGTAAATCCAGCATGGCTGGATTATGCTATTGGACCTCAGTATTTCAGTGCTATAGAGCAGACATCTGCTTCATGCTCCTGGCTGATAGCAACCACCGGCAGCTTTATCACTAGTGCAGTTTCCAGGCAAATATTTTTCAGGTGCAAACGGGGTCTTTCAAAGCCTTGCACGTGCTTGTACAACATGCACAAAGAAGCTGTTTCTGCAGGACTTGGGCTGGAGTCAGGCTGGACCGAAGGGAAAGGGGTTCTCCTAAGAAGAGTTGTTAGCAAGCTGCAGGATAATCAATAGACTCGATGAAGATGCAGTGGGGTTTTGTAGTCTAGAGTGTATGGTTTTATCCTACATAGGAATAATTGATAGTTCATTAGCTAGCGTGGTGGAATAGAGTATAGCAGATATTGCGTGGGTATTTGCTCCTGCAGGCAAATCACTTTGTCTATGAACCCAAGCTAGATCCACATCAAGGATCCACCATCCACCACCAGGGTGAAAGGAGGAGGTGATGCTGACTCTGGTGGTGGTGATTCTTGCCCCTCCATGGAACCACATCATGCTTTGCTAACGTGCTGTGGAGAATACAATGTGGAATCAGCTGAGCTTGGGGTTGGACATACTGGTGGCAGAAGAACTTCTGCCTCAGAGCTCATCTCAGTCTCCCCCAGGGCAGGTTAAAGCCATTCCCCTTTGTCTGGCCCTACATCCCTTGTCCCAAGCCCCTCTCCAGCTTTCCTGCAGCCCCTTCAGGCACTGGAGCTGCTCTCAGGTCTCCCCTTCAGGAGCCTTCTCCAGGCTGCCCCAGCCCAGCTCTCTCAGCCTGGCTCCAGAGCAGAGCTGCTCCAGCCCTCACAGCACCCCCATGGCCTCTTCTGGCCTCACTCCAATGGCTCCACATCCTTTTCATGTATGGTGAGACCTTGGCCAGGATGAAACTTTGCTTATGTGACCTTCATTTAAAGCTCATTGCTCTCTGGTCTGTGACAGTTTAAGTCCCATGCTCACTGACTCATGGAGGCAAAAGCTCCCTTTGACCCATCAAAACTCCCTGGATCACTCTCTTCTTTGATGACTTATGGTCAGGTCCTGCACCACCCTGGCAGGATGCAGCTCTTGGTGGCATCATTTGGCCACCCTCAGCTGTAGCAGTTTTGCCAAGCAAAGCCACCTTTCCAAGTGTTCAGTGCAGTTACTGTATTTTCACATGAGTATCAATGGGATCTTGTCTGTTAAAATCCCATCTATTTGAGCATACAATTTTCCCGGAGTCAGAATCTATTAGTGAAATCTCAGCCCGGGTGACAAGATAACAGAATCCTCAAATTAAATAGGGTTGCCACAATTACAGCTTCCCCCCTTTCTTTCCCAGCATTAACACCGTAAACGCTGATGTCAAGATAAGATCTGAATTCCATCCTGACAAGGCAAATGTTATCAGAGATCAGTTAATTACACACTGGATTTCAACAGAGGCAAATAACCCCCCTGTGGGTTAGTGTGGAAACTGCTGTCTTGCCACCAGCTTCTCTCTGGGTCACCAGGCACACTGCCCTCATCCATCCCTCTTTTTTTCCACCATGCTAAGGAAATGGGATCCGCATTTTCCACCTGGTTTTAGACCTTGCCCCAGGGGTGCCCTAGAGCCCATTCCTGATACTGAAGAGGTGGAGGATGTTTCAAGTGCTACCTGCAGGAAAGGATTTGCAGCAAAAGAGAAAACCTGGTTTAGTTAGAAAGGAGCCCCCACCACTCTGCAAAGAGCTGGAGGGAGAAGCAGGAGTTTCTGATAGCAAAAAGGCTTTTTGTGAGAGCTGGGTAATGATGCTCCATGGAGGTCTTGCTCCAAGGTGGACTCTCCCCCACTGCCTTTGCTCAGTCTCAACCAGGCTCTTGGAGGCTGTAAGACCTGAAGCAAGAAACAAGGGCCCAAAACATGGAAAATCAGAGGTTGTAGGCACCTCTCTTTGCTGCATTAGGAATCATGCTCAGCACTGCATGGTAACGATTGAATCACTTCCTTTGTGCTTAAAACCCACAGACGGTGGCATGAATGCAGCCCATCATGGGGATTGCCCCAGTTAAGGATATGTCCCAAATCACCTTGTCTTGCTGGAGAACACCTTTGTCGAATCTGCCCTTATCACCAAAGCCATGCCTGTCTCTACCAGCTCTGTCTTCTTCCCCTGTTTTGTTTCTTTCTGTCCTGCAAACATATGCAGGGTGTTCCTGGGAATGGCAGGGTTTACTCATCCGCTGATAACTCCAATCTAGTCTAACAAAGAAGCAAATGCACAATGACATCTCTTGCACAAAGAGCTGTCATAAAGTGCGGCTGGCAATCCAAGAGGTATAAATGCTCTTTCGATTAAGTGCCTCATTGAGGTAAGTTGATGATGCTCCATTAGGCTGAAGTGATAGACTTCTAGTTCTCCACACAATGGGTGGGGAGAGGGATTCGGTGCTGGAGCAGGCAGGGCTGTGCTCTTGCTTTCTCTGCTCTCCTGCAGTCCTCTTCATTCCAGGCTGCTACTTATTGCAGCTTCTCCACTTCTGCACAGGGGAAAGCTCTTTATGCCTCATCACCTTGCATTGGGCTCAGGGATGGACACCCAGCACCCTGGCTGGGCTCCCTGCAGGCAGAAACACATTGGGCAAACCCCACCATGGGTTGTAGCATGGTATTAGCTCAGCGACATGATGGGAATGGCAGGGGCACAGCACTTGGGCTTCTGGAATCGTTCCTTTCTCCCTTTTTCCCTCCATCTGCCATGCCTTTTCTTGCAGGCTTTCTGCAGGACACTGGTCTTGATGCAGCTTTTGGAGTGCCAGAGAACTGCATCAACTCTGCTCTTTATTTTTACAGTGCAATAAAAAGCTCTACACCCCCTCCAGGTACAATAAATGATACCAACATTTTGACCTTGTTGCTGCAGCTTTTATTTAAATCAGGAGAAAAAACTGAGAAAGCCAAAGGACACGGATAATTTACGGATGCAGAATGCAGTCAGGGCCCTGGCAGTGGCAACAGGGATCACTTAGGAGCAGTCCCAAGCTTTCCACGTGAGGCGTGGAATCAGTGTCACTGCAACCAGTGTCCCTGCGGTTAAGCTTTGCCCAAGGAGGTCCTCCAGCTCTGCACTAGAATTACCTTAAGTACAATCAAGCCCAGCCCAAGTCAAGCAAGAAATTAAGATTCTCGTTATTTAAACGGGAGCCAACTGCATGAGAGTGGAAAACGGTGGGACCCCACTATTAATTACTTCAGTTTTACTTGCGATTGGTGACAGTTCCTGTTGTGCCTGCTGGGGCACGGGAGGAGCTCCATCCATCACAGACCTGTTAGCGGTGCGCACTGGGAGAGGCACCGCTGCTGCCTGATTTCTCTTTTCCATTCCACACACAGAGCGCTCCCCGTCCCTTATTAAACAGAGGGAAATTGAAGAACAAATTGGAATATGTAAAATGCTTGTTACTTGCATTTTCCACTTGGCTGGTGTTTCCCAATAGGCTGTTTGTGGGGTGGCCGTTATTGTTATTCACCAAGATAGCTACTATTAGTTTTGTTACTCCCTTATTGAACACAAAGGTACCGACTTTCCCTCTTACCTTGATGAAACAGGATGCAATTGCTTTCCTGGTGAACAGGTCCCAAGCCAGTGCCATATCGGCTTGACCAGTGCGACAGCTTCTTGGCGAGCTTGGTGAGGGATACATGTGGAACCATCACTTCTGCTTTAGAATGATCTATTTTACACCGAGGCATTAGACACAGCCATAAAGAAACCCAGCACTTAATTGCAGAGAAAAACCCAGGGATGGGAATATAAAATCAAGCTCAGGTTTTATTTGCTTGCAGAAAGCAGAAGAGATGGGTCACTGTCAGTGATTGCCTGTGGAGTAACGAAGATCCATTCCCTGAGAAGCCTGCCCAGAATTTACACCAAACCCTCTAAGTACGTACTCAAACAGGACTTCCATCACGTCAAACTTGTCAAAAGCGGGTAATGCAGATGAAACACTTTAAAAGAATCTCATTTTCAGGACAAGCTGATCACTCTTTCCTTGAAATTAAAGCCCTTGTAGAAGATCTTAATTTAAGCAGTCAAAGATTAAGCTGCCCAGCATGATTGCCTGCTTTTGCTGCTGAATTTACTGGCATTTAGCAAGCAGCATAAGGCTGCTAATGGCGTGTCACCGTGCTTCTGAGAGCCAGTGGGCTGGAAAATATCAATTGGAGGACAGAAAGCAGACCACCTCCTGCAAAAAACAGAGGCATGTCCAGCTTTGCCGGGCCAAGAGTGGTGCTGTTGTTGTTTCATGGTCTGGATGCTGACACTGATGAGGAAGAAATCAGTTGGGAAACAATCATTATACAACTAGAGGAAATAAGGCTTGAAGATGTTCCCCCTTGAAGAGGGGTCATCTGCTGTCAGGGTGGACTTAATGCCCCTATGAATTGATCTTCATCTCTAGAGAAGGACCTTGGTCCTTAGAGGTAGCAGAGTCCCTGCATGACCTTGGCATAGCCTAACAGCTCTTGGTCCTGCTCCCTGGCATTTCATGCGCCCAGCCTAGAAGGCAAATTGAGGATGCTGGCTTCTAAACAGTTGTTTGGGGGAACCTGAGCGATGGCCCCGCTGGAGGAGGGCTGGTTTGCTTTCAGAAGGGTTTAATACAAGTACAGACTGAGAGCAGGGGGAGAAGGTGTCAAAGGGGCAAACAGAGGGATAAAATGAGGAATCAGATGAAGAAACCCAGTGAACAAAACCTATTTCCTTGAGGTATTTGGGTTCCCAGTCAGCTCCAGTATCAGCGAGCAGCAGGGAGCCTTCCTTATATATTATTTATTTAGGCTTAAAAAGAACCGTTCCCTTGTTTGACAGCTTCTGCTGGGATTTTTGTGCCATTTTCTTTTCTTTCCTTGTATTTTTATTACCTTTTTTTCTGTCTTATCTTAACAGGGCCACTCTGCCTCCATTTGCTTTTATAGACATGACTTCAAGGCATGACCTCAGCGGTAGCACTTGTCAGTTGGGAGCTCAGATGGCCTCGGGCTGGAAGCAGGCTCTGCCTTGCTCCTGCTTCCCCTCCTTGCCCCAGCTCTGATCTGCCCAGTGCTTTGTATCATAGCCTCGATGTCGAGGGATACTTTGTGCTGCTGATTGGTAAGAGGTAGAGTTGAGCATGTTGCTTGCTGTCCCTGGAGGATAACTTTTCATTATTGATGTGGAAAGTGGGGAATAAAAGAGGCTATTACACTTTTTATCTTCAGGGAACATTTTTCCTTGTACTCTCCATCCCCTCCCTTCAGATATGAAAGCACTTCAATTCAGAGAATCATTCGGAGTACAATGAAGTCAGTTCTGAGAGCAGCAGGCACATTTATTTACAGTGCAGGTGACTTGTAACATGTCTCTACCATGTATGCTTTTATTATTCCCTGACAATCCCTGAGACAGGATGTCTTGTTCCTGGAGTGCCACAGCTGTGCTGCTTTTTACAGTCATTAAACCTGGCTTTGAAATCATAAGAAAAAATCCAGTTCCTCCCGTTCAAATAGGCCTGAAGGTACGGCGCATAAAGGAAGTGAAACAGCGTTCCTTGGACTGAACCACAAGCTAGAGGAAGATCAAAGGACAGTGGGTGAAGAAAACGCCCCCTTTAGGGGTATCAGAAGTGGTTTCTGCTTGGTGCCACACGAGGAGAAAGCATCATCCCACACTCTGCAGATGGGAAAGCCCATGGACATCTGCGCACCGCTGGCATGCAGCGGTGCTCGTGTTTGCCAGCTAGCCGGCCAAGTGGAAAATGGGTATTTGTAGGTACAAGCCCTTTGATTTTCCACTAGGAAAAGAACACGGGCAGGCAGAGATGGGAACGTAAATCAGAGCTCACTGATACGGATCCAAGAAAGCTTCCGGATCAATATTCAAACGAGTGAGCTAGTAAAAGAAAACCACACTCCCTCTCTATCCATCAGCTCTGCACGTGGCTGCTTATCTCATCTATCTGCTACCTCATCTATCTGCTACCTCATCTATCTGCTACCTCATCTATCTGCTACCTCATCTCTCTGCTACCTCATCTCTCTGCTACCTCATCTATCTGCTACCTCATCTCTCTGCTATCTCCTCCCAGGCTTCTCTTTCCAAATCTGCAGCACCATCTAACCCTCAGATAATTTTTCTGTGTTCCAGTCTCACTTCTACAAGGAAAGAATCAGGGCATTTGGCACCCGATAGCGAGACCTCCTTTCACTATTTACTCATGTACAGGAGGGGTGGGAATGAAATGAGGATAAGAGATGCTGACACCGTGTTTCATCCTGCACAGGCAGCACTGCTGCTGGTGGAGTTGATTGCAATCCACTGGGAAAGACTTGGTAGCTCCAGGTAAGCAACTGCTGTCATTTTCCTCTTTGATTTTAGCATTGCTGAAGTCAGGGGAAGAAACATTTGGATGCTATTGAGAGGGTCAATACATTGTTAAATGTCAGCGTTGGTTGGAACAACCAAGCCTTTTGGGTATGCCCACCTTTGGTGTCATAGCTGCTGTCCCTTCCCTACAGTGGGGTGTTGCTGCCTGTAGTGATACAACAACAGAAGGAAATGCTTGAAAAGTGACTCAAAAAAGGGAGGGTTACATGAACCTAGCAGGCAGCTCTCATTTTACACAGTTTGCCTCTGCCCACTGGGCCAGGGATTTGTAGCTGAAATGCCATCTGTACTTTGTAGGCTCTTATCTCTCTGGTGTGCTGAGATAGCACCTGATTACCATAGTATCAGAGCATCTAGCTCTCTGTGATGTATTCATCCTCATAGCAAGCCTGGGGATAGGTAAGTGCTATTATCTTCCTTGTACAGATGGGGAATGCTTCATTGCGGCCCAGACCTCCACTTCGGGGTGCACTGATACAGAGGGCAATAGTTATTTATGAAAAATGGAGTAGTTTGGAGTGGTATGGGCATGAAATTCATCTCGCTGGGTCAGAAGTCCACCCTAGAGCTGTCTCCATAGGAGGTGGCTCTCAGTGGGGAGGTTGAGATGAGCTCTTAGGCAGAAGTTCTTCACTATGAGGGTGCTGAGGCGCTGGCACAGGGTGCCCAGAGAAGCTGTGGCTGCCCCATCCCTGGCAGTGTTCAAGGCCAGGTTGGACAGGGCTCCTCATGCACTCCTATTTCTAGAGGTCCCTCCTCACGCCCTGCTGTTCCCTTCTTCGTGCAGGCACTATCTCAAACCAGGGCTAGTGAAGGCCAGGTAGATGAGTGTGGGCAGGAGTTGGATTCATGTCTATAGACGTGCACTGTGTACCAATACAGGAACTTTGACGTCGTTCAGGCGAGCTTGCCCAGGCAGCAAACTCCACATTGATGTGCAAACAAGGAGACAGCCACATGAAGTGGAGGGAGCAGAAGCTAATGAATGTTCTTTAGGCTTTAGGAAAAGATATTGCCCAATGCTGTGGAAAATTAAAACTTGTTTCTAATGTGTTTAGGAAATTCAATGCTAAAACTCAAAGATGAATGGGACGAGAGTTCAATCTGAGCCGACCCGGTTTTGTTGGAATGTCATTTGCTATGGTGTTTGCTCCCTTGCAGAAACCAGGAGACAACCTAATTACTTCTTGCACTCTGCACATAAATTATTGCTCCCAAACATTTAAAGGAGACAGGAAGGGATGCTGGGAAAGGTGCTAAAGGAACCGTTCTTCATCCACAGCAGGCTTGTGCATGATCAGAAATTGAAGGACTGGTGCTGTAATGGCACCAGTGATTGTCAGGAGGCCTCTCAGTGCATCCCAGCTTGTTGAGGTCACTCCTGCAAGATGGGGTGGCAATAGGATGACTGGGATTAAATTCACTTTGGAATGGAAAGATCTTGACTCAAGAGGATCTGAAGTGTAGAGGGGTTGGCTGGCCTTAGGGTTCCTTGAGATGGACCCGACCTCCAGCTTTTCACTTAACATATTGCCCCCACTGAACACACATACACAAAGATCCTCTTCTGCATTAAACTGAATGATCACATCCAGCTACCTGAAAAGCTGCCTTGCAAAAAATCCCTTGGCGAGCATAAAATGAAACCAGAGGACCCCTTCTCGTCTTCATTCTTAGAGGAAGAGATTCAGAAACAACATGATTTATGGGAATTCCTTAGAAGAAGATGAGAGTTTGTGCTTCATCTTCCTTAAATAGCCCTCTGTGAGGCTTACAAAAGCTTTTCCCACATGCTGAGCTTTCAGAGCCATGGGACAGGTTCCCCCCCAAGGCACTGATCTTGCACAGCTCAGTAAAATGCAGGGGGTGGCTAAATCTGAGCTCCAAATCGCATCACTGACACGGATGAACCGCATCCGAAACAGCGTGTCCAGCACCGACCCACCACATCTGTCACACTGACCTTCACCCACCAGGTCACTTGTCAGCAGCTCCACATTCCCGGCTGGAGGATGGAAATGAGCCTGTTTGAGCTGACGGGAGCTCAGCAGAAACTCATCAGCAGAGGAGCAAAGTTTACAGCTCAGATGAAAGGCTTCAAAACTTGTCTCGGGGAGGTTGGGGGCCCTTTGTGACCTGTTGATGGAATTCCATCACCTTGTAACTGTGACAGGTTATAATCAACCTGCCCGATTTGAATCTTGTCCATAGCTAGGAGTTTTAATTTGATATTCACCATTTGCTCCATCTGCATCATGAATGTGCCCTGCTAAAAGGAAAGCCTCCCTGACCTGCTTCCTCCAGGCAACGGGCTAACATCCTCATGCAGCCAGCCAGCGATTGAGGTGTTTCAATGCTGGTACCCAAGAGACGGATGTTAAGGGCAAGTGGTTCATCAGAAAGGGTTTTTTACTCTTTGTTGGACTACCTAAGAGGAAAAGGCATTAAATAGCCAGGCTAATCACCTGTGTGACAGCACTCCACATTGTGAGTGTCATTTGGCTCCTGATGGAGATATTATCACTGTAGGACCTAAAAAAGGGTCAGTTGTGCTCTGTAAGCAGGTCTGGGTCCTGAGAGATCCTTCAGCTGGAGCACAAAGGCCTCCAGCAAAAGAAGTAAGACTATTCAACCAGGAGGTGTGCTTCAAACACTTCATCAGGGTCACTGGGCAAAGGTAAGCCTTCTGTCTGGAAGCAAATTGTGTGAAACGAAGGTGTCACTCTTCTTGTTACCACTTCTCACCCCTGATTGCATGGCAAAAGGGACAGGAAAGCCTCAACACTCCATCATTGTAAGTGAAACATCTTATTCTGGTCAAAAGCCATTTTAGCACTAATAATTGCTTGCTTCTGTATGAGTTTTTGGGAAGGGGGACACTTTAGGCCATGCTTGTGGGTTCTCCTCCACAATCATCATACATATTTTTAAGTAGCTACACGAGTCCAGGTCTACCACATGAAAAGAAAAGGCCAGTTGAATTTAGTAGTGCTTTGGTGCTATTTGTCTCCATTCGGACAGAGATCTCTGACCCCACTGAGGTGCAAGAGCAATAGGGAGGGCTTGGGAATGAGAGGAGCAACCACGGTCCAGCAGCCCGTGAGCTGGTGCTGGTTTGCTTTGTGCCCGTCGCTTGTGGTGTCCTGCTGAAAAGTGCCAGCTCTCTGGGATGCAGCTTTGCAGGTGATGGTCTGGAACTGTCTATCATCATTAGAGCACTTTGCTTTCAAAACCCAGCCTGACAGAAGTGTTTGGTTCTTGGGGGGGGTGTGAGGAGATGATCTAAGAGGACATCTCCCCAGGCCACCCCAGGGGCTTGGCGCATCCTTGCTCTTCCTTGGCACGGTGTGGTAAGATTGCACTCTATGCAAATGGCAATTAATAATTCAGCATTTCCCCCTCTCTGGGTGATGCCTGCTGGCCGTGGGAGGTGCATGGAGTGGGCAGGGACAGGCTGGATGTGTCAGGACACCACTGCATCCAGTGGAGAGAGTGGAGGAAAGACACCAGCGCAACCCTGCAGAGCTTTTATACTGGTATAATTACCTCTTCTGGGCATGTAGGGTATTTTTAGCCTGCTTGCCTAAGGAAATTAAGCTCATCTGATCATGTAATGAATGCATGTGCGTTTCTGCATGTTGATTCTGACCTTAATAATGTTTGAGCCTATTGGCACTTTCAAGCAGATTTGATGGGGGAGGAAAGCAGTGTCACATGAAAGTCAGTTTTTAGACATACTGTGAAAACAGTGGTCAGGTAGAGGAGAAAAAGCTCTATAAATGCTCCCAATCAGCATTCCTTGTCTGAATGCCAGGCCAGAGCGCGGGCTTCTACCTTATCAGACATCAAAGACTCCACACCAGGGGAGAGAATATAGAAGAACCCATTCAAACGGCAGGAAAAGATTGGATCGGAGCTCGCAACCAAGCATGAAATGCAGATCTTAAGGAAACAGGGCTTTGTTATCCCTTGTGCTGATGGGACTGCATATTAACTGCTTATTAGTTGTAGGAGCACAAAGGCGAGCGTGGATTTGGTTGGAAGGTATAAAGTCATTCCTAGTCACACAGCGTGTTCCTCTTCCCCACATAAGAGCATTTATGTCAGCAGAGCTGCACTTAGGGAGTTAATGCTGCTCCCACTTTGGGGCATAAACAGGGCTTAAAAGCCCTGAGTATTTCCCATGGAGATTTCTGGGCTGGGGTAAACCAAAACAGCTGTCAGATTTGGCTCTCTGCTGCACTTAAAGTGACAAGGATTAGGACCAGGGAAGGGAGTTCTCATGGCAAACCCTCTGCACTGCTCTTAGCAGAGACCGGGATAGAGCTGCGGTGCTTTCTGCAGCGTGGGGATCGGGGCTGAGGCTGCTGAGGTGGGGAAAGACCTCAACAGTGCAGCCCCAAACCCTGGGCATCAGCACTGCCCAGAGGGTAATGGGCTTTCTCCTTCTCTTACAGCTAAATGCAGTTTAGCAGATCCACTGGGGATTCAGGCTTTTGCTTGATTCAGGTTAAACGTGCCTGTGTGGCCAAGCCTTCTGAGGAGCCTGGCAGCAGCCACAGCTTGGCACGGGTGGCTCACAGTGGTCAGAATTGGCCCGGATGTGTTTTGTTTACCCTCTTTCATGTACATGCTCCCAGCTAAGTGGTGAGCAAGGCACCAGCCAGCTGCATGCAATCGCTTCCAGCCTCCCCATGCTCTCATCCAGCCCCAGTTAAAGCTCCAGGCATCGCTCGAGACAACTGGGTTACAGAGCTGCCCCAAGCCCCCAAAGCAGCTGGGGTATGGGAAACGATGCTGCACTCACAGCTCATCTGCCAGGCAAAGCCACCAGGGCTCAGAGGTGAAAACGCTGCCATAAATCCAGTGCCAGGAGGGGTTTCATAGGGAGATGCTCCCGATCCCAGCCTGGAAACAACGGCACCTCCATGGAAATAAGCCCCAGTGAAGGGCAGGGTTAATTTTCCCACGTCTCACCCCTCTCATGGCTCCATGATGATCCATGATACCTCTTCAGAGTGCCTTTAATTCATGGCCCTGTAAGTCTGTGGCAGCACAGCACTGCTCACCCCAGCAAAATAGCCAGAGATCCCATAAACGCAGCTCTTCTCAACAGCTTGCCAGCTTATAGCAGCTGGAATCCAACTGATGCCAACACAATGACTCTGAGATCATTAAAGCCTTCCTGGACAAAAGGACTGTATCTCAAGGGTCCGTTTTGCCATAAACCAGCTGGGGGAACACAACAGGAAATCCTGAGGAATAATATCCTCGTGAGGAAAACCCTGCTCTGCTAAACTGTGCTGTAGGGAATGAGGGCAGATGGTTGGCTTCATCCTCTACGGAGCTTTTAAACCAACACAACCCAGGCCTGGGGCTTGGAGCTGTGATGTGTGAGATGGGCTCAATACCCATCACTGCAAGTGGCTTCCGGAAGAAAAAGCTTCTCCAGGTGCACAAGACTCTGGAATCATCCTGAATTACCTATAACTGGGCGATATTGGCTGTCCCACACCAACCTAGCAGTCAGCATGAGAATGGGAGCAGAAGTGGCAGCTGTCTTGTAGGACCTGCTAGAGCTACTACTCAGAGGGAGGCACAGGATGCTGTGGATGCGATAGCATCACTTTCCAAGACAAAATGGGGAGTGTATTTCAGCCTATTGGGGTCTTGGAGGGGCTGGGACAGGACCAAGGTGCTCAGTAGTTAAGTTGCTTTGAATCAATGATAGTAACAAACCAAGGGAGAGGAAGTCCCACATTTTGACATCGATCCAATGTGTAGTTCTTCGCCCCTCCAGAGTTTTGCTCCTATTTGGGTTAATAATCAGCTTTGAGATGCTGTTTTCTTTGTTCTCCTCAAGAAGCTCGGATTCTCACTGACAGATGCCATTGTGAAATGCAATGTGAAAAATTCACTTGGAAGATACAAAACAAATGTAATTTTTGGAGCTTGTCCAGCATTTTCAGCTGCCAAAGCAGTTGAATCCATCCTGATCTGAATTCAATGAGGAGTTTCCATCCCTAAGGGCTAGTCTGGGGAGAGGCTTTTTGTAAGTAAATTGCAAATTGCTGCCTACTGCACCTCCCCTGCCCTGCTGAAGAACTCAATGTGAAAACCTCTGGAATTGGGCAAGATTTTAGTTAAGGCACAGTGAATGAAGGCACTTGGTCTTTGGTCCAGCTTTTATGGTGTCCTTAAGTCAAATGGGCAATTCCCACTGCTGATTTAGGTCCATCTACATCATCCCTTTCTACAGCCCAACTTACACACCTCTCTGATGAGACCCCCCCCATCCAGTGTTGTGTCCAGCTCGGGCACCAACACAAGAACGTGGACCTGTTGGAGCAAGTCCAGGGGAGCCCTTCCAATACCTAAAGGGGCTACAGGAAACCTGGAGAGGGCCTTTGGACAAGGGCCTGTAGGGACAGGACAAGGGAAGCTGTGGCTGTTCCATCCCTGGCACTGTTCAGAGCCAGGTTGGACACAGGGGCTTGGAGCAAGCTGCTCTAGTGGAAGGTGTCCCTGCCCGTGGCAGGGGCTGGAGCTGGAGGAGCTTTAAGGTCCCTTCCAACCCAAACCAGGCTGGGATTCTATGATCCTACGACTTTAGGATGGGAGAAATCCTCTCTCTGAAGGTGCTGATCCCTGTTGAGCCCGGTAGCTGTCTATATTGCAGACCAACCCAGGCCTTCAGATTCCCTGAACCATGGGGATATGCAGCAGCTCCATACTGGAAATCCAGCTGCCCTTGCACTATGCCCCAGCCACCACCACACTGCAGCGGGTCAAGGTGTTTCTTACCGGCTCGTTCCACCGGTGCTCACTGCATGAAGGACCTGGCTGCTTCCTTCCACAGCTCCAAGGAGTAAATTAAACGACACGATGAAACACAGTGCATTTGCAGCTGGCTCAAAGGGAAGAGAACAGCATTAGGCAGCCCTGGTGCTCATTAAACGCCTCTGACTAGAAGGATGTAATGAACCAGTTTTATTGCAACAGTAATTTCTTCCTATCGCATTTGGTTATGTATTCATGGGGGATGCAGGGAAGGGAAGGAGATCACTACAGACTAGCGCATGGAGATATATTGTGTGTGGGAACGATGACACCAGAGCGTGTGGCTGGCAGATAGGAGAGAGGCGAGGCAGAGAGCAGAGTATCCCCAAGTCCATTATAACGCCATCAAGCTGACCTTTAAAATAATATATATATGAGTAATAAAAAGGGGACCCTCTGTTCTTGGCTTCTGAAACATGAGCAGCTCTGGAGCTGGTTTAATGACCACGATAGCCAAGCTGTCATACACCTCAGGTGTCCCAGGCTAACTGGGGATGTAGCTTTGTGTCCATCAGCTGCTGGGACCTCATGGGCAGAGCTGGTAATGTAGGACCTGGAGCCAAAAGAGGG